CCCCAAAACCCCAAAACCCCAAAACCCCAATAGAGAAAGTGCAGGTTGAAAATCTACTAAACTGACTAGTAATCCTCTAATTTATGCATAAGATTAGCCTAGCTCAGACTTATGTAGTGATATGCTTCACCATTTTGATATTCTTACCCGATCTGTGGCGATTAGTCTTACTCCTTTTGGAAAGCTTCTGGGCAGGTTCCTCTTTCGCTAGATTATTATAACCCAATCGCTTACTCTTGGTGACGGATAAGTTGTAGGGATGAGGAAGGCACACAGAACTCTTTCTTGGATTCTCCACTACATTAGTGGTCAATGGTCTCTGAGTGTCATTATAATCGTCATTATCTGTATACTCATTTTCTGTCCCAATTTGGTCCTTGATCAGATGGGCATAAGAATTGTCAACTTTTTGGAATTGTGAAGACATGTCAAGATTTGGATCGAAGTCTCTTCTTATAGAGTCTTCAGCAGAGCTTACATCTTCCACACATAGCTCATTGCCAAACTTTGGTTGGTTTTGATTTCCTAAGCCTATCTCTTGCTCTATTACTTTCTTGCTGTTGGATAGTAGTAGACTCTTTCCATTATTGCTACTTGGAGGATCATTATCTTCTATCTGCTCTCTCAAGGAATACAATGGTTTTAGGGTCAGAAACTCAAGCCTCGCTTCATTCTTGATATCAAGAACTTCATTGAAGAGGTCTTTTTGTTGAGATTTCTGGATTTCCTTGAGTTCTTCAAGAGTAAAAGGGTCTTCATCCTCTTCTTCTATGGATTCCTTGTTAATTATTCCTGTAGTTGGTTGTTTGATTGGAGGCTGTTTTTCTCTATCTTTTTCTTCCTCACTTTCTCCTTCTGCTTCGTTAATTTGTGACTTTGGCATGGCTGAAACAGACGAGGTCTCATCGTCCATCAGTTCATCCATATCAGGCAGGATATCTTTATTGTAATAGGTGTAGTTGTAATCATCAAACGTGAGAACTCCTCTTTTAAATGGGTTCTGATCCTTGTTGGTAATTATATGCTCAAGATATTTATTTAGTCTCTATGATCCCATCCTTTGCATACTTCTTGGTCTCAATGTCCTTCAAACCAGAAATTCTCTCAAACTCCTCTGATGCAGAATGAGCGGTCCTGAGATTAGGATCAAGAGGACAGTTTTGGGTGGGATGTCCCTTCTGTTTTCATCAGAGTCATCTTATTTTCTGTTGCATTTCACCTTCTCGGCTACCAAACTTATCACTTTCATTGTAGGTTTTAGAGATATGGTAATCTTTGACGCAGCCTGGGTTGAGATGATCTGTGCTGCCACAGCACCACCACATCTTACCACTCCATTCTCTTTGATGGGTAATACAGGACCACCTGAAGTTTTCCTTCTCTGAGAAATCTTGGTTGCACTTGTAGCAGATCTTCTTCCTCTGGTTGAGGTTTCTCTTTGTTTTCATATCATTGATTTTATTCAGAAGGAGATTTTTCTCCTCAATTTCTACTTTAATCGACTTTTTGAGAGAGTCTATTTCCTCTTTCTGCTTACTACTTTGTTCCTTTAACTGTTTAAGTTCTTGCTCAAGAATGTTAATGTTGTTCTTGCTGGCACGAATAAACTTAGATTTCTCTATATTAGCCCTCTTCCTTGCTTCATTCATTGTTTCTAGTTTAGAGTATAAGTCCTTGTGTTCTGATAGGAGATCAGCGATCTTATTTCGTACAGTTCTGGTAATCCTTGATCTTCTTCTCAAGGTTTATCTTCAATTCAGTAATAACAACTGTGTTTCTCTCCTCTGCTTCTTTGGCAGTACCTAGTGACCGGATTGAGTTGTTCAGTATAGCTAGTCTAGTGCCTAATATATCAGTTTCCATTTTAGACAAAGACTTAGAGTGCTTATGCTCGATGAGTTGGTTCTTCAGCTTCTCATTGAAGACCTTCTCACGTTGTAAGGACTGACAGAAATTGGTAGTCTTGATCTCATTCTCCTTAAGCATCTTCTCTAGTTGGTTGATCTTGCCTTTCGAATTTATCAGCTCCTTCTCTGTAGTAGCTTTGAAAATCTCTAGATTGGGTGAGAAGGAAATTTACCAAAGCTTTGAATCTGTTTTTCGTATAGAGAGTTCTTTATGCTCAACATTTTGTTCAGCTTATTTAAGCCTTGTGTGGGTAGTACACATGATCTCATTCTCAGCTATTTTGGCACTGAGAGATTCCTGAGTGTTCTTTAACTCCAGCTTTACTCCTTCTAGCTGGGTAGATAAACGATCTGAGAGCTTCAACTCACCATAAATTGTCTTTGGCTTAAAAATACCCTCATTGGGGATTTCTTCATTTTTGCTGATCCTAGTCTTAGTTTTTGAATGACCACTTTTGTTGCCATCAAACATGGGAAGGAGGTAATTCTTCACCACTTGAGCAGCAATCTCTGGAGTTATGTCCCTCATACTGATTACTGAGCTACTACGGACTTCTTGAGAAGGAACTTCAGTGACTCTTTGGGCTCTTCTTCCTGTCCGTTTTGTACCCCTCTCTGGTACTTTTACAGACCCATTTCTTCGTTTAGAGGGAATATAAGGGGAAACTTGCTTGGCTATATATGAATATTTAAGGGGTTTCATAGCATTCTAAATGCCACTTGATGAAATTATACCATCATATACTCTCAGAGGAATCCAGTTAGAATTAGCTTGGAAACCAGAGTAAAAGTATTGCTACTTACCTCTTGTCCTACCATTGGGGTGAATCCCAATAGATGTCTTGGCTGCTCTTTGAACCATACTTCGTTCATTCGGAGAATTTACTCTAAGCTCTGGCACTTCTGGTCTGAGATGGGAGCTACTGGCAGCACTTGCTAGCCTTTGTTGGCTCTCAATTTCTTCCTTGATCAGTGAGTCTTCAGGGAATATAGTGTTGATATTTTGAAGTTCTTCGTTGGCATTCTCCATTATTAGCTGTAGGGTAAAATAAAAATATTTCAAAAAATTAATTCTTGTGGGGTTTTGGGGTTTTGGGGTTTTGGGG